ATATCCTAGGATATATTGAACTATGTAGAGATTCGAACCCTCACCACCCTCCAGGCCTTCCGCAAAGCCCTTAAAACCTGGCTGTTCCGACAGGCCTGGGGCTAATGAGCTTTTGTCCCCTCTCGAATGGTATGGTTGTTGTGTGTTTTTAAATTGAGTCCCCTCTGGGGAAAAGGGCGGCATAGAAATATAATAAATCAAATCAATCAATCAATCAATCCTGCTCGAGACCCGAGCGTTGTGCAATGGGATGAGCTCCCGCGCCTAGGGATTGCCTCAAAGCATTTTATCAAGTTTTATCTATCTTTTAAGTGTGAAAGCAATAACGAGCAATCTTCCCCAATCCATTTATATGCCAATAAAGGGGTGGATTCCTGACCACTCTCCGTGCGCCCTGAAAAAATGCAGTTCCAGGCGCTGGCTTCCGGAGTATTAAACCGGTCTCTTGATTCTTTCTAGACTTTGGCCACCTATTCAGTGTCCGATGCTGTTGCCACCTACTACATGTACATGAAATATGTGCACCCTTTCATCTTCGCCTTGTGCACAATCATTCCGATGGAACCGGACGAGGTGAGCAAGAGGGCATTTCCGCTTGGGTTTGGATGGTCCCCTCGTTTTCTCTTTGCCTAAGCGTTGCGTCTCAGGATTTGTGATGAACGCATTTTTTACCATGAATGACTATGATCCTGATTTATCCCTTATTGCTCGTATGGACACCGAGAGCTTCTGCACTGGAGACAAAATTCCTTGTGTGTCCAGTCACACTTGGCCAATAAAGAATTCTATTCTATTCTCCTTTCTTCTTTCATTATTCTATTCTACTCCATTTCTGTTTCTTTTCTATTCTATTCTATTCTCTATTCTATTCTATTCTCTATTCTATTCTTTATTCTATTTTCTATTCTAATTTATTTTCCATTCTATTCTATTCTATTTTCTATTCTATTTTCCATTCTATTCTATTTTTTTATTCTATTCTATTCTATATTCTATTCTATTCTATTTTCCATACTATATTCCATTCCATTCTATTCTATTCTTTATTCTATTTTCTATTCTATTTTCCATTCTATTTTCTATTCTCTTCTATTTTATTTTATTCTATTCTATTCTTTATTCTATTTTCTATTCTATTCTATTTTCCATTCTATTCAATTTTTTTATTCTATTCTATTCTTTATTCTATTTTCTATTCTATTCTATTTTCCATTCTATTCAATATTCTATTATATTTTATTTTCCATTGTATTTTCCATTCTATTTTCCATTCTATTCTTTATTCTATTTTCCATTCTATTTTCATTCTATTCTATTTTATTTTATTCTATTCTATTCTTTATTCTATTTTCTATTCTATTTTCTATTCTCCATTCTATTCTATATTCTATTATATTTTATTTTCCATTGTATTTTCCATTCTATTTTCCATTCTATTCTTTATTCTATTTTCCATTCTATTTTCATTCTATTCTATTTTATTTTATTCTATTCTATTCTTTATTCTATTTTCTATTCTATTTTCTATTCTCCATTCTATATTCTATTCTATTTTATTTTCCATTCTATTTTCCATTCCATTCTATTCTTTATTCTATTTTCTATTCTATTCTATTTTCCATTCTATTTTCATTCTATTCTATTTTATTTTATTCTATTCTATTCTTTATTCTA